ACCTCGGGCCGGTTAGAGCAGCTCGTATTGCCGCAGATGCATCCGCTGGATGATGTCGCGGCAGTCGTTGAACACGCGCTTGATGTTCTCGGTGTCGACGGCGCACGTGAAGTGCGGGTAGCAGTAGTGCTTGCCGTCGCCGCTCGCCGTGCTTATACGCTGAGGGTAAAAGATTTTCTGCGGTTAATCATTTTGGAATTTTATTGAAGAGATAGTAAATAGATTGGAGCCACACTTCTAGAGTAACTACCACTAAAGCTTGGTCGCCGAGCACGTAGAATTTAGTCCATTGACCCCAAGCGTCCTTATCGCTCGCGCGTAATTATATTGCTGTCGCGACTGTGCGACGGGCGGCCAGTTAGTGTGCGTGCGCGACCGGACAATACTAGAACACATGTAAGGTCGCCAGGGGCGAAAGCAAATATGAATGACACTTACGGCCGAATACTGAAACACTACTCAAATCTGTCACTCAGCTGACGGGCTCCTAAATTTAAGTATCCTTCAATTTTAAATGGTATTCTCAAACGGTACTCAACGGATTTGAAGCCGTGATCAGCTAAGCAGCTCTCAAATGTTTACATAATGGCAACATTTACCAAAAAAAGTATGTTTTCATTTACACAAATGATAACTTTACGTCTTTTATCCATTACACGCAGCATCGTTTGGTTATGTATTGTCTTTTATGGAAATATACTCAATCAACTTAACATAGAACAGTTTATTTTTAGTTTCTATTATATATAAATCTCGTTTTATCATATAAAAAAAATAATGCTTGCATTTTTATTTAATTAAAACATAGTAACAAATGCTAAGGCGGACGTATTCTGTCAGAATACAGCACTTTTTTTTTTATTGGCCTACACTTTTGATTTTGAACAAAAAATGTATGAATAGTCCATGACTTTTAGATCTCAAGTACTCGACGCACAGTGGAGCTACGGCTTTGGTGCCATAGTAACAAATGCTAAGGCAGACGTATTCTGTCAGAATACAGCACTTTTTTTTGTTGGCCGGCACTTTTGATTTTGGACCAAAAATATATGAAACGTGGATGATGTCCTTTGATATCATCATTTTAATTTTTTTAATTTTCATACAAAATAAATTTTATAAAATCCGATTTGTATGAAAAATAAAATAATTAAAATGAAGATATCAATTTTCTGACTTCATCATACCATTTATATGACCAAGTTAACATGGGCTAGTGTCGGCTCATATACCCATTTACCTAACACCATGTAGAGAGATGCCAACTAATGCGCTGAGTTCGAAACTCAGTGTCGCATTAGAAATTGACACAAACAAAGTAATCAAAATATGTGTCATTATCCACTGCGGTATCAGTACTCAACGTTCGTACTACGTAAGCAATGTAAATGACGATTATGACGTCTGCAGCAATGTGTTCTGTTTTTGGGCATATTGCTGCGACACCGGCCACGCCCCCTTGTCACATCTTCCTTTAGTTTCTGTGATCTGTGGTCCCATCACTCTTGACACGCAAGTGTATCTGACACTAGCACCACCAGGAACTCGTCGCGGATGAAGTACTTGGCGCGGGACACGTCGGGGTGGTCGCGCGGAGCTGTATCCGAGTGCCGCTGACGTCACTGCTCGTGGACTAAAGCCTGGTCCGTGAGCACGTAGAATTTTGTCCAATGACCCCAAGCTGCCCATCCTTGTCGCTCGCACGTAATTATGTTGCTGTCGCGCACGCACACTCACTGCGGGCGCGCGTCGCACAGTCGCGACAGCAATATAATTACGCGCGAGCGATAAGGATGGGTAGCTTGGGGTCATTGGACGGGATTCTACGTGCTCACGGACCAGGCTTTAGCTGGCGCACACTCACNGAAATGTGTATACTGATGTGCTTTATACGTAACATTCAGATGTCTAATGCGTTAATATTGGTTAGCGGTTTTATAACTCCCTTAGCAGGAAGAACACACCACTGTCCATTGTGACGTCACGCCGCCCTTGACCCTTTGAATAATAAAACCTATGCCGTTAAGGTTTATGTGTTTTTGACTCGATATCTTTAGGGTTGCTTCGTGTGTCTTCTTTTCTCTCTTTTCTTCGTAAGTACTCTATGAGACTAAAATCGTCTGAATTTCACGAGCAGCATCTTCAATTGACTCATTTACTTGAGACGTGTGTATGTGAAAATACCTATCTCGTTTTTTTTACTGAACAATAAAAGCTCAACCGTTTTTATGAAGTGCAGATGTAGACACAATATTTTATAGTCTGGAATTAGCTTCTAGATGTACACGGCTTGTGTATTAAGCCACGTCAGCATTAGGGAATGTTTGTATCAGAAAATGGTTTCGGCATATTAAGGTATCGGAACTTTTGGAAGATGCCCATAGATGTGCCCACTCGCATTTCTACTTTTGCCCATTTGGCCTCTTATTTATAAGGAAGAAAAAAAAATATTTTATTGGACTAGACTAGAAAAAAGCGTTTTTTCTAGTATCTGTGTTAGCTCGCGATGTAAATGCACCTTATGGCCATCACAAATTAGGCACCAATATACGCCGTCGGTGTTAGAATAGAACACTGAAATACCATTGATGCAGGAAAGTTTAGAAAGTTTAAAGAAAGTTTTGGTGCTGTAGCATTTGACGATGATTTTAAGATACCAATATATCATTTCTGGCGACTTCCCAGTCGATTGCAGTATCAAAATCAACTTCGACTGACATTCCTTGTTTACTCCACTCATCAATATCAGGTAGCAGCCCTACACCGTCAGCTTTTGCTAATGAAGCGCCACGACACGCCCATCGAAGTAACGGCACTGAAACTCACGGCACAGCCTATACATTTTTGATCCAATATGGTACCTATTGCAATAACATAAGATGCTTCAGTGTTAAGCTTCACGTGCCGGCGTCCATACACGATCGACTTAACAATCTTATTTCAAACACTGATTGCGCCAGCTGATATGCTGCCGTAAGTGTAAATAGAAGTTCATTATGTACAGGTGAGGTGAGGGTTAGTTATTTATGACTTAAAAATCTTATTAATGCCTCTTCTTACCCTTTCCTTAACTTTTGGGGACTTACAAACGATATAAATGTTGATCAGTCACAATTTTGATTTCCTAATGGCCTGGCGCACGTTAGGGACATCTTTTAATATGTCAAGCACATGTAAAAATTAAACGAATTTGTCTTAGGCTGAGTTGCACCACCTGACTTTGACCGTAACTTTGACAATAACCGGTGTTTTTTGTATGGAGTTTGACAGATTTTTGACATTTGTTAAACTTAAAGTAAGATAGTGCAACCCAGCCTTAATCTTATCTATGCTTATAATAAATGTGAATGTAAGTGAGAATGGATGTGGTTACCTTACTCTTTGTGCAAAAACTGGACTGATTTAGATTAAACTAATCTATAATATGAGTATTTCTCAAAAAAAATGTACGTAACGAAACGGTAGTAACGAAATAGTAAGGCCATAAGGCTTGTTATACATTGGCGAAATATTGTGAATGCTCTTCATTTATTCAATTCGAAATATTTGTAAGTATGCACCCAAATACGGGGTAATATTAAGGGGTTAGAAATAAAATAAGGGAGTAATCATTCATACTATTTTAATAAAATTATTTTTGTTCCATCATGTTTATCCATTTTGAGTCGTTCTCTGTAAGCTTTTTGCCTTTCGGCATTGGTTTTTGGCGGCATTCCTAAAAAAACAAAAGAAGTAATCACATAAAAACGTAATCTAAATGATTTGATAATTTTTTGCTGGTGGCACTTCTGTAAAGCAGATAGTATCCAATCCTTTTGTTATTAACGCTCTATATTTTTTGAAATAAATTAAGTAGTGAATATTACTATGCTTAGTCAGGTAATAACAGTATACACTCAGCATTATGTTGTACTTTTTCGTAACGTAACGAAATTCGTAAAAAACGTAACGAAATATTAGACAAAATGAGATCAGAAACAAGTATTTTTTTGATAAAATTTGTTACAGCAAATATAAAAGCTTACTAAATGTTCGTACCACACGTATTACAAAAAATGGTTAAATGAAGACTTACCGTTCTATATAAAATCGCTGATTTTACTGCCTGTTACGAAAAAGTAATCCCACAAAACACACACGTTTTCACTAATTTTCGCGATAGATGTTATGGCGGAGACGTCAGGCCAACAGCCATTCAGAGTGCAGCTATTGTTGTCCGTGTAAAATAAATACGGAATTGTTCAGAAACCATGGGAAAGTAGAAATAAATCGTAACTAAAGAGTAAATAACGAAATAGTAAATGAGAGCGACTCATTTTGTTTTTTTGCTTTAAATTGCCAATTCATTATGACACCCCATAGAAAATCAATTTGATACAGAAACTGCGATAACTGTAGAACGATAATACAAAGAAATTTACAATAATTTAGTTACGTATCGCATTTTATGAAACAAAAATACATGAAAAAGCTAGGGTGGCAAACAGGTTTTTGTATGAAAGGTAAAAAAGGACTATTTTTAAAATATCTAAATATTTGGTAATAAGTAGGATTATAGCTATAATTCTTCGTTATCTTAAAGATTAATATTCATCCTTCAAAATTGTGTGTGTGTTTTTTTTGTGTGATGATTTATAAATATAAAACTTTTGAACTGTTTCAAAGCACACTTTTTTTTTTCGAAATGTACATTTTTTTTTAGAAATACTCATATATAAAAATGAAACCCGTGTTCCGTTGTCACGACATAACATGAAAACGGCTTGACCAATTTGGCTGATTTTTTTTGTAGTTTTCTAATACTCTGTACAAGGTTTTTACGGAAAAAAATATAAAGAAAATCTCTACGCTAAGGCGGTACGAAGTTCGCCGGGTCAGCTAGTTTATTTATAAATCACGGGCCATATAATTAGAAGCTATAAAAATCTATTCGAATAATATAGAATCGCTGATAAATACATAATGGTAAATATATAATAATATTCTTACACATACCGTTTCTATTCCAGTTACTAGAGCTGTTCGACTCGGAGGACCCTCGCGAGCGCGACTTCCTAAAAACAACACTGCACAGGATATACGGCAAGTTCCTAGTTCTCCGCGCCTACATACGGAAACAGATCAACAACGTGTTTTATAGGTGAGTGTTGTAAACATTATAATGTTTGGCTATTGAAGATTTACGTAAAAACGGCCCTCCCAAGTGTAGTGTCATCGTTATCGTAAAACTAATTTAAAAACGACGAAACACTTTAAACCTGAATTGTCTTCAGTGTAACCAAACTACTACCAGAAGAATCACCAAATTCATTCTATCACCAATTTTGGTCCCTAATATAGTGATAACATCCACGATTCTGAGTATAATTGCTCGAGCTCATGATTATACTAAGGTGAGCGGAGAAATGGTTTGGAAAACCAATCAGATATCATTCATTATTGAAGAATGAAATCTGATTGGTTATTCAAAACAAAACACTTCTCCACCTCGTTCCGCCTTGGTGGAAACCGGGTCTAACTTAAGTCCCCAGCGAGATTCTTTCCCGCAACTGCTGGACTTAATCTTCACTATCGCTGATTCCCAAATTTTGTTCTACTAATTATGCCGAAGGAGAAAATAGTTGTTTCTCGCAGTGCCACCTTTCTTGGAATGGATACTTTACCTATAGATAAAGTTTTACATCGCGAGACTTCCCTAGCAAACCGTTCAGTTATCGGTGATTGCAACAAGCTAAATTGTATTGCAATGGAAATAGCGTGGAAATGAAACGTCGTCCACACTCGCAGCCACGTTGTAAATGTAGGTCTTAGTAAGCCTCTGCCTACTACGTAATAATACATATGTATAGTCCGCAAAGAGGTTCCGATATATTTCATATTCACGACTCTATTCGTCTTTTTCTCTCACCTTTATTGTCATGAGCCAGATATAGGTTTATTTTAGGTCATGCGCTTTATTGTGACTTTATAGGTGACCCGTGAGTTACGTAAAGAATCGTTCAATATGAACTAGGTAAGATATTCATTGAATTTTTTTTATGTATAGAGTAGTTTTCTATCTGCTTAGATCTTTGTAATATTGAATCAACTTGATTTTTTGAAAATAAATATAATGCCTTACTGTCTATCCTACTACCTACAGAGTTTTTTGGTAGGATAGTATCAAAACTATTAACTTCTGAAAGCACGTTACTTCGTGCGGTTCGTGTAATTATCATAGAACGTCGTTATGGAAATATTTCAGTCTGAGGCTATCAAGTTACAGTAGAAAAGACCTTGTAATACGATATAGGTGTCCAACAATCGAAACGATTTTCCCATAGTTATATCCTAATGGCCACTTGACTTATTCTCAATCGATAATAACGATCGGTTGGCGCTGTTCCTCCATTGTGAGGCATCTGTAATGGCTCACGATAGCTCAGCCGGACCTTTTTTGTGCTATTACGGTTTCGTCATATACAGCCTTGGCCAAAAGTATTGAGCACCCATGTTATTTATTAATTTTGAAGGAATTATACATGTGTCTGAATCAAAACAGTTTTTAACAGTTTTATATTGTTTATTTACAACAAAAAAATGTTTGACGGTAGGTACCACACACTCCGGGGTAAATTCTTCGTCTACTCGACGACGGACAAATGTCACACCAGGTGTGCCAACAATCTGTAAAGTAACGAAATTTTGTTAAGTGTTTTTCGGTCCAATATTTATTTTTACAAATATAGTTTTATAATATTATTGTCGCGTATTGTTATTACATGATATTGGCTAACTTACCTCAAAGTTTGATTCATCTGACCACACAATGTTTTTCAAATCTTCCTCAGTGAAAGTTTGGTATTTTAAAGCCTACTCGTAACGAGCTGTTTTGGTCTTTTCTGAGAGCCATGGCTTCTTTCTGGCTGTATAGCCCTTAAGCCCAGCTTCTTGGAGTCTTCTGCGAGTTGTTCTTGCAGAAATTGGCGTATTAATTTCAGCTGATAACTCAGCAGCGAGGTCGGAAGAAGTTTTTTTATGATTTTTCAAAGACTAACAATACTACAGTATCATAGCTAAACATCTCGAAACGTGTTTTATTGCACGTTGTGCCGTGAGTTTATGTTTCAAAACCTGTCAAGGAAAGGTTTTTATCAAATATCTTTGAGTATCTTTTATAGTTATCATGTATAAGCAGTATTTAGGGGGTGCTCAATACTTTTGGCCAAGGCTGTACTTATCTTCTGCGACTATTATAGAACAATCAGAGTCCAAATAAAGTTTTTCTCCGCATTGCGTAAGTTAAATAAATGTCAGCTCAATGACACTGGCCGCGTGAAGGTGTTTGTTTTGTCCCAGCGTCAATAGTGAATCTTTATGTACGCGCATTGGACTTACTAATGTTTACATAAATGAATGTAATAAAGTATATTATAATACATCTGTGTTAGAATTTAGATAAGGTTCCAAATGATCCAGACACGAGCAAACTGTTTTGAAGGTTTGATTGATTCCGATTTGAATACGAATCAAGTACAGTTTTATAGGAATCGTCAATTCGATATCCTGTGAATTTGAGATCAACTAAAGATATTCCCAACCTTGGTTAAATTTAAGTTCTAATAATTTAGCCCACTGATAACCAGCTTGCTAGCCTCTATGTTCAGCAGTGAACGTCCTGAATGAAGATAATGAATCATAAGAAACCTCATTTTCCTTCTTAAAGTGATAAATGGTTTTGTACAGGTTTATCTACGAGACAGAGCACCATAACGGCATCGCGGAACTGCTGGAGATTCTTGGCTCCATCATCAATGGGTTCGCGCTGCCGCTCAAGGAGGAGCACAAACTCTTCTTGCTCAGGGTAAAGTGTCAAAAATCTGCAATTTGTTATGAAGATATTACTTTTAGAATTACTGTTTTTTGAGATATTACTTTCAGCTTTACATCTGGAGCTTATGGATTGTGAAAGACTTGCCGATTCGATTAGACTAAAGTCTGGTCGCCGAGCACGTAGAATTTCGTCCAATGACCCCAAGCTACCCATCCTTATCGCTCGCGCGTAATTATGTTGCTGTCGCGCTCGCACACTAACTGCGGCCGCCCGTCACACAGTCGTGACAGCAATATAATTACGCGCGAGCGATAAGGATGGGTAGCTTGCGGTCATTGGACGTAATTCTATCTGCTCGGCGACCGGACTATAGAACAACTGAGTTACTTCTGGAAACTAATGAATTCGAAAGCAGGGGGAATGTGTAGGTGGCAATAGTCCTTATACATCGGCCTACTTATTCGGGAAAACTGGTTCGATCTCCGAATGCTAGACTATTGTGCCGAACCCTTTCCGAAATATTTTGCCATCGGACTACCGTTTCGAGAAAATGTCTGTTCGAACCTCGTCAAGCGCTGCATTATTATGTTGAACATGTTTAGCGAGATTGGTACCTAATATTGTTCAATTTTTATGTATCAACAGCACCTAAAGCTAACTAGTGCTATGTTAATAGGTGCGATTTTGCTGTGCCACCTACTCTACCACCTGCTAGCTTGACTAGTAGGTTTCTTTGCCAAGTGACTTCTGTAACTTAGTCTTAAAGTGAAATGTTTCCAGGTGTTGTGGATGGCAACACTGGGTTGCACATGTATCAATGATACCAACCGTAAAATAAACAGTTGACTACCAAACTCATGTCTTTGATTACAATACCAGGTACTACTGCCCCTGCATAAAGCCAAGTCGCTGTCGGTGTACCACGCGCAGCTGGCCTACTGCGTGGTGCAGTTCCTGGAGAAGGACCCCTCCCTGACGCAGCCCGTAGTTAGGTGAGGAGTGAAATAATTTTATTGCCAAATACTTTATATGACTTTGCAATGCAATAACAATAGTGTCCATGTATCGTTAGCAGTTAGTTTAGGTTCCTGGACTACTCCTGCCCGTAGTTAGGTGAGGTTTTAGAATAGAAATATCACTATTATCAATCCAAAAAAGCAACTGCAGACTACCAGTATCCGTGACGCGCTCTCTGCCGTCACGGCTTATACTGAGCGGATACCATTTTGGTAGCTGTACTTTGTTGAATAGCTTTTGTTATGACCTCACTTTTTCCATTTCTCTTATGACACCAAAGCAAATAAAAAAATATTAGTATGAGTCAATACATACATGTCTAACTAAAGTAAAAACTTTTTCTTCACAGAGCGTTATTAAAATACTGGCCCAAAACACACTCGCCCAAAGAGGTGATGTTCCTGAACGAGATGGAAGAAATACTGGACGTGATCGAGCCGGCCGAGTTCCAGAAGATCATGGACCCGCTGTTCCGGCAGCTGGCCAAGTGTGTGTCCAGTCCGCACTTCCAGGTTAGTGTGTGCTCTATGACCAGAGTAAATACAAATGAGTAGGTCATCTTCATAGAAACGCACGGGCGCGGTTTGTATGTGAGCGCGCCAACACGTATGCGGCGCGCACGCACACACTGACAAAATTTTGCGGGGATTAGCGGGGAGCCAGTCGTGGTTGCGCCGAATTTTGTCAGTGTGTGCGTGCGCGCCGCATACGTATATTGGCGCGCTCACATACAAACCGCACTCGGTGCGTTTCTATGAAGATGACCTACTCATTTGTATTTACTCTGCTATGGCGTAGGTAATAGAGGCGATGTTCCTATGAGACGTGAGGAGATACTGGCCAAATGTGTGTCTAGCCCGCACTTCCAGGTCAGTGTGTGCTCTATGGCGTAGGTAATAGAGGTGATGTTCCTACGAGACGGAGGAGATACTGGCCAAGTGTGTGTCCAGCCCACACTTCCAGGTCAGTGTGTGCTCTATGGCGTAGGTAATAGAGGCGATGTTCCTACAAGACGGAGGAGATACTGGCCAAGTGTGTGTCCAGTCCACACTTCCAGGTCAGTGTCTGCTCTATGGCGTAGGTAATAGAGGTGATGTTTCTATGAGATAGAAGAGATACTGGCCAAGTATGTGTCCAGCCCGCACTTCCAGGTCACTGTATGCTCTATGGCGTAGGTAATAGAGGTGATGTTCTTACGAGATGGAGTAGATACAAAGCTCATAACTGCACATAGGCACTTCCAGGTCAGTTGTATGTGCTTTATGGTCCAGGTAATAAGGTCTAATTTAGTAAAAATCACGGGATTCAATCTTATCACAACAACATGATGAAATCAATAAGCCGTAATGAAACAATATCCCAATAAACAATATTCGTACGTACACAAACACAGTTTGTGTAACGAACCGCGAAAACGAACGCAAACATCCCATATCGAGTTACATTGCCCGTAATATCTGACAAATACTTGCTAAAGGAAACCTCCTGGATGTAGGGTTGCCCTCTTGCCCTCTATTATGAATCACTAAAGCAAATGAGAGATAAATAAATGTTTATTTTTTTCCTTATCGAAACCAAATCTGAAAAATATTCTGCAAACTATAATGATGATGGTATACTAACACTTCATTTGACATTTGCGATCCTAAGTAAGCCCTAACACGGATAAATACTTAACATTTCACACTGCACTGAGCGGCAACGGTATCAACACAGTTCCTTGTGCCGAATTGTTAACTCGTCAAATTAGTAAAATATTCATTTCTATGGAAGCGCCAGAAATACTAAGTTGGACGTCTTGACGTAAGAAAATTTGCCGAGTTACACACCTCTATCTTCTGGCAATATCCTAACACTATTTCCTAAGCAATTCCGTCCTGCAAGACCATGACATACGTTTATTTATTTGTTTCTTATTGCCATGTCCTCTTGCCTTGCCAATAAAAAATCTATTTCCTGCCTTACCAAGTAACCATCTATTAGATCCTTACCAAATAACGGTATAGTTATTCTCTATCGTTAATTCAGACGTTGACGTCACAAATCCTGGTTACCCCGGAACCTCGCCAACCCTACCGCTGGCGCGGCGCCAGCTGGTTTATTAGTTGATTGTTACATTTATACGAAAATGCCGTCGTGAATCTTGCTTATTCCGCATCGTGTTGACGCTCTGGGTAATCAAAATATTTATTAGAGGTTGAAGTATAGTTGGCACATCTAGATAAACATGGAACTTATGTGTTTGCAATATTAGAGCGATTTTGCTCTGAAAATCTGATAAGCTGTCGACTGTACAGCTCATATTGTAAAATCGTACTTATTAGAAATCCCTCAATTAGGTTAATCCCCCGACACCTTTTTTCGTAACCATGCATAGTAAAAATATTATCTACAGAACCGTCGTCCTTGATGCAATTCAGTAGCGCTTTACGGATTGACCTAGTAACGAAGATATTTTTTAGACCAGCTCTATCGTGGATATTGGTTTTAAGAGCAGAACAGATCCATAATGACAAAAAATCACTGAGATTTAAAAATGTATTAACGCTCATCATGTAGAAAATGTACAGTCTAATGTGCTGTCGACTGTACATAGCTAGCCTATTTAATATCTGTGATAATAGCTGAGATGCTTCAAGAAGCTCCGCCATAAAGCTGCCAAATGACAAGTGATTAGTGATCAGTGCGAACACCTCATGCGAACATACGTCCAACCAGAACTGTTGTATCCTTTGTAATTTTAATCTGTTGTGCTGTCCACAGAACAATAAAAAATATGTTATAATTTTTGTCCACAGGTGGCCGAAAGAGCACTATACTACTGGAACAACGAGTACATAATGTCGCTTATATCCGACAACGCGACGTACATCCTGCCGATCATGTTCCCCTCTCTGTACCGGAACACGAAGAGCCATTGGAACAAGACCATCCACGGGCTGGTGTATAACGCTCTCAAATTGTTCATGGAGATGAACCAGAAGCTCTTCGATGAGTGCACGCAGCAGTACAAGCAGGAGAAACAGAAGTGAGTCGTGTCTGTTTATGTTCCGGAACATTTGTAGCCACTGGAACATTTTTAACACAAGGAACAGTTTTTTTTCGTCTTATTATGTTCTGGAAAATAACTAGCCATTATTATACCAGTTAACAGCTCAAGTTTTCAAAAATAAATACAGATATTTAAAATGTATTATAATGTGTACAAACAAATATCAAATAAAATTGAATAAGAGATGAGAAGAATGAGCAACTAAAAAACGATACCACGGAAACATTATGTCCAAATGAAATATGTAAAAAACTCATTAATTTCTGTAAGTAGGCTTTACCTCGTAAGACCGAAGAGTAAATTGTGTCGACTTCTAAGTATCGCCGAATGTGCTTTCAGAAGAACGAATAATTTGAAGTAGTAAACGCCGAGCACTTCGAGTAAAAAAATTTCTATGTTAGAGATTTTCTTTTGCATTCATATTTTCTGGGGCCCTATACAGTGTGTCCGGGCTTGTAGTGATCAAANAATATCCCTCAGATTGAGTTAAGAATAAAACCAATTAATAACTTGAGCCTCATACTTATTTGCTTTCGCCCCGGGTGACCTTATATCTAATGCTGACTTATCCCCAAGAACTCCTCCTGACTCACTAGGAACTTGTCAGACTAACTTCTGACGCTGACCACTCACCAGGAACCCGTCATAAACGATCATCTGATACTGACCATTTATCAGGGTCCCATCCATAGAGATATACAGGGTGTTAGGTAAATGGGTATATGAGCCGACACTAGCCCATGTTAACACGACCATATAAATGGTATGGTGAAGTCAGAAAGGACATCATCCATTTTGGTCCAAAATCAAAAGTGCCGGCCAAAAAATAAAAGTGCTGTATTCTGATAGAATACGACCGCCTTAGCATTTATTACTATGGCACCAAAGCTGTAGCACCACTGTGCATCGTAGTATTTGAGTTCTAAAAATATATGAAACGACTTACTTTGATCTCAAATACTACGACGCACAGTGGTGCTACAACTTTGGTGTCATAGTAACAAATGCTACGGCGGACATATTCTGTCAGAATACAGCACTTATTTTTTATTGGCCGACATTTTTGATTTTGAACAAAAAATGTATGAATCGTCGATGAATTTTAGATCTCAAATACTCGACGCATGGACTAGCTGGCGCACACTCACCAGGAACTCGTCGCGGATGAAGTACTTGGCGCGGGACACGTCGGGGTGTAGCGCGGCGCTGTGTCCGAGTGCCGCTGACGTCACTGCTGGACTAGCTGGCGCACACTCACCAGGAACTCGTCGCGGATGAAGTACTTGGCGCGGGACACGTCGGGGTGTAGCGCGGCGCTGTGTCCGAGTGCCGCTGACGTCACTGCTGGACTAGCTGGCGCACACTCACCAGGAACTCGTCGCGGATGAAGTACTTGGCGCGGGACACGTCGGGGTGTAGCGCGGCGCTGTGTCCGAGTGCCGCTGACGTCACTGCTGGACTAGCTGGCGCACACTCACCAGGAACTCGTCGCGGATGAAGTACTTGGCGCGGGACACGTCGGGGTGTAGCGCGGCGCTGTGTCCGAGTGCCGCTGACGTCACTGCTGGACTAGCTGGCGCACACTCACCAGGAACTCGTCGCGGATGAAGTACTTGGCGCGGGACACGTCGGGGTGTAGCGCGGCGCTGTGTCCGAGTGCCGCTGACGTCACTGCTGGACTAGCTGGCGCACACTCACCAGGAACTCGTCGCGGATGAAGTACTTGGCGCGGGACACGTCGGGGTGTAGCGCGGCGCTGTGTCCGAGTGCCGCTGACGTCACTGCTGGACTAGCTGGCGCACACTCACCAGGAACTCGTCGCGGATGAAGTACTTGGCGCGGGACACGTCGGGGTGTAGCGCGGCGCTGTGTCCGAGTGCCGCTGACGTCACTGCTGGACTAGCTGGCGCACACTCACCAGGAACTCGTCGCGGATGAAGTACTTGGCGCGGGACACGTCGGGGTGTAGCGCGGCGCTGTGTCCGAGTGCCGCTGACGTCACTGCTGGACTAGCTGGCGCACACTCACCAGGAACTCGTCGCGGATGAAGTACTTGGCGCGGGACACGTCGGGGTGTAGCGCGGCGCTGTGTCCGAGTGCCGCTGACGTCACTGCTGGACTAGCTGGCGCACACTCACCAGGAACTCGTCGCGGATGAAGTACTTGGCGCGGGACACGTCGGGGTGTAGCGCGGCGCTGTGTCCGAGTGCCGCTGACGTCACTGCTGGACTAGCTGGCGCACACTCACCAGGAACTCGTCGCGGATGAAGTACTTGGCGCGGGACACGTCGGGGTGTAGCGCGGCGCTGTGTCCGAGTGCCGCTGACGTCACTGCTGGACTAGCTGGCGCACACTCACCAGGAACTCGTCGCGGATGAAGTACTTGGCGCGGGACACGTCGGGGTGGTCGCGCGCGTCGGGCGCGGCGTCGGGCGGCGTCTGGTAGCGCGCGAACTCCGCGAAGTACTCCTCGAGGCGCGACTTGCCGGCCAACACCTTCTCGGCTAGAAGGTCCTGCTTGTTCAGGAAAAGTATCACTGATATCGTGCGGAGCCATCTGGGGACAAGATATTTTGACTGTTAAAAGTGCGCAACGATAGAAAAATTGTATTCAACAAGACGGTTGTGATAGTTAACACCAAACTTCAGCTTCAAGCTGTTGACTCTTGACTGCAAGAGCGGTCCGTGTATGTTGATCACTGACTAACTGCTCGAGCTGTCCGTGTATTGCCGGCCTTAGGCCTGCCAGTGATAACTGCTCGAGCAGTTGGTATTAACTGCTCAACAAATCACAAGTGCGCGCGCCGTGGAATGAAGAAAGTGGGCGGAAGTAACTGCGCGAGAGCTGTCGACAGCTCGAGCAGTCAGTGTATGGCTGGCGACTGCTTGACCGCACGATGAAAATTCACCGTGCTGTCGACCGCCCGAATCAGTTGCAACCGCTCGAGCGGTTCGTGTATGTGCGTCCATAGAACTCTGCAGTTCACTGTGCAGTCGCAGCTTCAAGCTGTCGACCCTGACTGTTTCAAGCGGTCCGTGTATTGCCGGCCTTAGGTCATTTTTTAGCCTCTACTGCAGAAGGACGAGCTTTTTTAATTTGCCAGAGGGAAATTGAGTATTTGTTTACTTGTGTTGGCCTGTGATGAGCACTATACTGGCTCGCGAGCACTATAAAGGACGATTCCCATTGTGCCCGCAGCACGCACCTGTTGTTCCATATGCTCTTGAACAGGTCCAGCGACTCGCGCAGGCGGTTCTGCGTGGGATCCTCGCGCAGCACCATGTTGTAGGACGAGCAGGCCGTCACGTCGTTGAAGCACTGACTCCACTCGCGAACACTCTTAAGGGGTCGGTGCAGCACTGCACTGGCTCCACTATAATGGGTCGGTACAGCACGGGCTCCACTCTAAGGGGTCGGTGCAGCACGGGCCCCACTCTTAGAGGTCGGTGCAGCACTGGCTCCACTCGTAAGGGGTCGGTGCAGCACTGGCTCCACTCTAAGAGGTCGGTGCAGCACGGGCTCTACTCTAAGAGGTCGGTGCAGCACTGGCTCCACTCTAAGGGGTCGGTGCAGCACTGGATCCACTCTTAAGGGGTCGGTGCAGCACGGGCCCCACTCTTAGATGTCGGTGCAGCACGGGCCCCACTCTAAGAGGTCGGTGCAGCACGGGCCCCACTCTTAGAGGTCGGTGCAGCACTGGCCGCACTCGCGAGCACTCTAAGGCGCCCGCATCACGCACCTGTTGTTCCATATGCTCTTGAACAGGTCCAGCGACTCGCGCAGGCGGTTCTGCGTGGGATCCTCGCGCAGCACCATGTTGTAGGACGAGCAGGCCGTCACGAAGATGATGGCCGTCACGTCGTTGAAGCACTGGATCCACTTGCGTCGCTCGTCGCGCTGGCCGCCCACATCAAACATGCTGGAAAGATAAACGTTATTGGTCAACATCAATAGGCTAGATGATTTGTCATCTATTTTCTATATTTCAATTATTTGTCCGTCAGACAGATAATTAGAAAATATTAGACTCATATTTTTTATTTTCTTTCATAATTAAATAATAACAGTACTAGTTGAAATGGTGCGATACGTCACGCTTGAGTAGAATTTTTACTCAAAAATGACGTCACGCGACATTTCAACTCAATATAATACTGTAATTATTCGATTATGGAAAAAAAAATATGAGTCTAATATTTTCTAATTATCTGTCTGACGGACTAAATAGAATTTCGATTTCATTACCCAGTCATCATCCCTATTTAGTCAAAGGATATCCACTGATAGATAAAGACCTCCTATAATTTCTAGATTGGCCAGTTGGAAATATAAGATCACACCTTTTCACCTTTTGGGTAGAAATCTCACGCTGCGCTTGCCAGTACTTGCCCCAGCTACCCATCCTTATCGCTCGCGTGTAATTATATTGCTGTCGCGCTCGCACATTCACTGCGGCCGCCCGTCGCACAGTCGCTATAGTTACGTTAAGTTACTAGCAAGTGACAGGACCTTACTCTACAGTTTTAGCGCTCACCAGTTAGCGCCACTGTTGAGTAAGGTCCTGTCACTTGCTAGTAGCGAAGACAGTGGCACCAACTTGTGAGCGCTAAAGTGGTAGGAGGACTATCGCATTTGCACTCATTAAGATGGCGCCACTGTAGAGTAAGGTCCTGTCAATCGCCAGGGGTGCCAACTGTTAAGTATAAAAACGATAGCCCTCATTACGCACGAGCGATAAGGGTGGGTAGCTTGGAAACATTGGACGAAATTCTACGTGCTCGGCGACCGGGCTTTAGTAGTTTCTATGACAGTCTTGCTGCCATATCTAGCACGTTATTGTGGTATTTTTATGCCCAAAGAGTAGACTACCAAGTAGAGTTAGCTACGAAAATAAATCAAAATGATAAGTTTTGAAATTCATTTCTGTGTATTTTGACCAAATTGTTCTGTCCGTATCAGGAATGACAGAGGACCTAAAAGTTTAATTATGCTCACCTG